GTCTGTCTGTCTTGGTCATGGGCAGGGCTGATATAACTCAAACCAGAACAGATTTCCTTATCTATAAAATAGGTAGCTTTGAATCCTCATTTTAGAGGATATATATTATTTTGAAAAAACTGGTGGAAGTATAGACCCTTGCCACAGAATACTTTGTACAGGATTTTACATACTGTCAAGATGACCATAACCCTTTCAAGCCTATCTACTGAGGCCCTAGGAGTATGTGTCCTAAACTGAAGGAAGGTCCTTTCTCTCAGTGAAACCTCTGAGCTACACATGTGGTAGCTATAGCCTTGAACAATAGAGTTCAGTTAAAGAATGAATAAACACAAACTACTGGGTGAATGAACACCAAAACGCTGGATGCCCAATAGGGCATCATGATTCAGAATGCACTTACTGGTTCTGAAAAAGAACTTGAAACCGATATTTTATTAGGAATACTGATTTTAGAACTGGTTTACCTTCCTCCTGATTCTTGCTCATGGGCAAAAATGTTCATTACCTAATCAATGCTGTTTCCCATGCATTTGCCCATCCTTGTTCATGCCCACCTCTCCTCAGGCTGTCTACTCAGTTCTTTGCTGAGCCAAACCTTCCCTACGCCCCACCCTCTTCACCTGCTATTGCTCCATTTAGAGGTAAAGTGGGAACCACACTTCTCCTGCATCTGTTTCAAACCAATCCACAAAAATTCTTCTTTCCTTCTTATGCTGTTCACCTATACACCCACTAGGTCCATTTTTATACTGCCATATGTATATCAAGGTCCAGGAAATAGTAGTAACTTGGTAAATACGTGTTGAAATATTAGTTATTTTAATAAATGATTGATTAAAAATTGCTTTCCTGGTTATTTTCTTTGTTTGAGGTTTTGGTGTGTTAAGTCTGTAATTTTTTTTCCTATATCTTCTTTTCCTATTATGATTCTTGGTGAGGTACCTAGGGAGAACCAAACAAAAATCTTATTTTTCTTCAATGTAATTTTCTAAATGACTTCCTTCCCTTCACTAACGTGGTCATATTGGATAAACCTACACATACTCTGCATTCTCTTGTGAGGCTACAGCTTTCTATGCTTTACCTGTTTCCCACTCTGGTTCTAATCCCTTGATATTATAAATTCTTTCCAGTCATTCCTTTTTACACACGTTAAACTACTCTCTTAAAATGCAGTAAATGTCTTCCACCTTCACAGTTACCCCTAATTCATTTGAGGGTGGGCCTGATGAGAAGCCTGTAAATCTATTTACATCCTTTTACTCTTCTGGGACTATTGAACACAGCTGGGGATGCTAACATAAACTATTACTATGAGGCCATCCTAGTTATTCCAGGTTTGATCTTGCCAGTCACATTCACTTTGGTTATCGAATTCTACTTCTATTGTTACTCTGCCACAGCAAATATCTGCACCTATGAACTGTTCTATTTATGACAACAGCCTGGTGCTTCCTTCTCAGTTCAGCTTTACTGCTGTCACACAGCTCATCTTCCACAGTCTCCCTATTCACAGTCCTTGTTTCTTCAATTACTTTTTTCAATAAACATCTGTTTGAAGATTATAATGCACTAGGTCCTCTTCTAAATACTGTATTTAAAAAGGAAACCAAGACAGACAAAAAAAAAAAAAAATCCATCCTCTCACTGAGGAATTGAATATAGTGGGTGTTTACACAACAGAAGGAAACAAATGCACAAGGTAATTTTCCTTTTTATAGATGCAACCATTGACCAGTAGAAAAAACTAGCACTGATTCCTGAAGAAGAAACTCATGTTTGATTGACACATCTCCATCACTGCTCCTATATCCTTCTTCTATCCTCTTATAGCCTTCTGTTCTTGAAAGATGGCTGGATATATGTCATCTCTACGTTCTTTATTATGTTATCTTTTAGTTGAAAAGTAATGTAATAAAAATAATAGTACCACTGCTCTTGTCACAATAGCAAGAGGATGGAGTCAGCCTAAACGCCCATCAAGAGATGAAATAATAAGCATGTGGGACATTCACAGCGGAAATTTTATTGAGTCACAAATAAAAATGAAATTATAAAAATTTCAGTACACTAGATAGGACTAAAGATTATTAAGTTAGGTAACACAGACTCAGAAAGACAAATGTCATATGTTCTTTCTCATATTCTGATCCTATCTTTGGAATTCTATACATATGTACTCACATGGGAGTGAGTGTGCTTAGAACCTGCAAAACCAGCAATAGTTCTTTGAGGTTGTAATACAAGCCCTTCCTCTTGTAGTCCCCACCCTTACAGATTAAAATTAGGGTCTTCTGTGAACTAGGTGAATACTCTCAGCCTGGGCTACAGATTCCACTCCCAGTTCCTCTTAAACACCAGCATTAAATGCAGAGTTCCACCTTTGCCTACATACTCTTTCAGTATGTGCTATTTGAGGTAGGTGACTGTGTGATTTGTATAATCCTCCTGGGAGGCATTTCAAACAAAGAGGGAAGTACTGTTGGTTGCTGCTTTGGGAAAGCATATGTAAACCAGAACTATATCAGACAAACTAGTATATTATGATGACCTTATTATTTTTTAATTAAATTTTTTAAAATACTAATTACAGTTTATTCACTTTGTATCCCAGCTGTAGTTCCCTCCCTCCTCACCTCCCAATCTCACCCTCCTTTCCTCATCTCCTCTTATGCCCCTCTCCAAGTCCACTGACAGGGGAGGTCCTCCTCCCCTTCCTTCTGACCCTAGCCTATCAGGTCTCATCAGGACTGGCTGCATTGTCCTCCTCTGTGGCCTGGCAAGGCTGCTTCCCCATGTGGGGGAGGTGGAATGACCTTATTCTTAAGAGACCATATCCATTGTTATGGTTTGAACTAGTGAAGACCTGTTAATTACTTGCAAAACTCTACACATCCTTGATACTAACAGTGACCTTAATGTTTTACATCTGTTATGAATTTTCACAGGGATCTCAAATTCTGTATGGCTAAGGCTTAAATAAATTCCTAGCGGTTGTGCTTCCTACTCAGTTATCTACTCACTAAATACTCCACAGAGAAGACTCTTCTAGATTTCTTATTCTCTTTACCTTTCATATTTAATCATTAAGCCATGCTAAGCCTAGTCTGAGTATTTCTCTACTTCAGTGTTTGTCATCTTGTCTTGATTTCACATCCACATTGCTGTTAGAGTAACCTAAAGGTTACACTTCTGCTTTGAATGTTTCAATAGCTCTATGACGTACTGAGGAGGTGCTCATCACAGTCCTTCCTGTTGTCAGTTTTGTAATTAACCTTATTTCCTCATGACTGCTATAAACTAGTGATACCATGTAATCTGAAGAAACACATATATACTAAGCAAGTATATATGTTTATATATAAAATTTATGTATATGTTTTGTTTTTTTTTCATATTGCCTTTCAAGTTAAGCACCAGAAAAGCTTCTTCAGGACAAGGGTGACCTTATATACTGAATACTTATTTACTCTACCTTCAGGAGGTACCATTTGTTGTAATAGATTTAATACCGACATGCGTAAGCAATGCCATTACTTTGGTTCTTTTCCACAAGTGCCCATATTTTACAGAATCATCAATAGAAATATTGAAAATGTGTGAGGGCATCAGTTGCCAAAAATTTTCCATGTTCTATGAAATTAAGAATAGATCTTAGCATAAGAGACATCATGATTACATTAATATATGTGGGTGATGTGACAAAATTATGAAAAGAGTAAATTGTTAATTGTTTAAGGTTTCAGAAAATCAGAAAGCATTTCAATAGTTGTCCGATTTGGAAACTTTGGTAAAAAGATTATGCAAAAGAATTTTTTCCTTTTCATAAGAGTTTTTTCATTCTCTTTTGTTCTTCTTTATTTGCAACTATAGAATACACAACTTTAAAAGGGAGAAGTATTGGGTGTCCAAAAATTTAGTATCTATCACATCTACCCAAATATCCTGTTTTACTGTCCAGATCTCTCATTTGATGCTTTCCATATTCCATAATCTTATATCATTAGTTCTGGCTCCCATGAAAGGAATTTCACTTTGTCTCTCAAGAAGCCCAAACTATTTGACCTTCCAGGCATTAAAACAAACACCTTCATAATTTATGAATAAAATGTGGTTACTTATTCTAAGTAATGCTGAGGGAATAAAAACAGCAAAATACAATTTTTAACAAAATATTAGTGTTCCTAGGGAAAAACCAGACATCTGGAATGAATGGCATTCCGAGAACAAAGACACCCATCTAGCAGTCACTGTTATGACTCGTACTCTGACAACAGTTTTCTATTTCCTAATTCAATCACAGCACTTAGTGTAATCTTTCCTAATTATATTTTGGCTTACAAATCTTGCTTTGGGAACTGAGATTACTTCGCTGAGAAGAAAAATAATTTAAAGTATTATGAAATCTAAAACATGTTCTGGTATCTCCTATAAGCTGAGGCCCTGGCTTTCTGGGTATGATAAGCACCCTAAGGTGGTTCTGAGTAGGTAGGAACACATCTTTCACTGAGTACTATATTAGGGAATAAAATTTGTTAAAATATAATCGGGCAGAAGTTAAACACTCCAGATTTATTTTTCCATTGGCAAGACATTGGTATTATACAAATGCCAATGCCCCCATAAATATCATTGAGTACTTGCTACACGTCAGAAGGTGGAGCTCTAAACATATCTGAAACATTGGTTTCATATGCAGTCCACAAGTGTGTGTGAGACGAGGAGATTGAAACAGGTATAAAATGTTTAGAAAAATACTTCTAAAGACCATCCCATTTCTTTGAGGACAACATTGCCCACATCTCCTAATATGTATAAGGTTCACTAACAGAAAAGATAATCAGTGATTTCCCTTGAGGTTTCAAATTATTTTCTGTGATTAAAAACTTAGGTATATGTAAATACAATAATAAAATACAGAATACATTTAAAAGGTAATACATTTTTGAAAAAGCATGGCCATCTAGTCGAATATGGGGAAAGACACAAATACTTACAAGCATCCCGGATATAGAGCAGCATTGCTATGAAGACATAGTCTACTAAGCTCAGGCTAAGGCCATCTGCAAATAAGGCATCCCAGACCACCAGCAGGTCCTGCAGAGGGAACTCTCTTCCAAACAGCAGCCGCACCCATCGTCTGCACAGAAAACAAACAAATGTAGAAAACATGACTTCTGATAGTGATCCTTTTCTGATGAAACTGAAGAATGTTACAATTTATTAATTGAGCAGTCAGAAAATAGCATATATTAAAATATATATATCAAAACAAAACACTGTAAAATCTAAGTTTTAAGTTTTTAAAGTTCTATATTTGACCATAGGCATTACACATTATTCTTCTATGTGGAAAACACAAGAATGACACTTGGAAAGGAGAGAAAATTTTCATATGAAAAAGAAACTGAAAATGTTTAGCAAGAAAGGTCAGGACAAAGGTACAGTCAGTGCAGCAGTTGTGCAGTATTCAAGGTTATTCACTGAAAATACCACTTCCCACAATTTCAGTTTCTCTACTGATTTTTGTTAACTTAGCTTTTTACAAATGTTTTCTATAACAAGTCACCATAGTCAAACTTAGAAATTTATATTGTCATATTTTCTAACTATCTAAAATACTCATTTTAAAACTTTATGTTAGCTAGGTGTGGTGGCACACGCCTATGATCCCAGCACCTGGGAGGCAGAAGCAGGTGGATCATTGTGAGTTTGAGGCCAGCCTGGATCTTCAAAGCAAGTCCAGGACAGCTAGGGCTACAGAGAGAAACCCTGTCTCAAAAACAGAACAAAATAAAACAAAACAACAAAACCCGAAACACTGCCACCACTAAAAAACATAATGTTAGGAAGAAAATCAGTACTCTTGCAGATTTTTGGGAGGGTCAAGTATAGACAGTTATTGAACATGAAAAAATATTCATAATTACTTTTTGGCTTGAGATAAGTTATTGCTAATCATTTAAGCTATTTTTCAGGAAATGCTTTTCATATTGATTTCTTGCCCAGGTAAATGAGTACAGAACAGAGGTGAATAAGCAAGTAGGATACTAAACAATGTTTGTATATAACTGCATAACATAAATAGTAACACTTAAGACTTTAGACTCCCAAAAGTCCTAATTAAGCAATCTGTATCTAATGTCTATAAGAAAATTAGAATTTGGTTTGATATATTTTGATTCATTGATTTCTAGTTTTATGCAATAGGGGTACAATTCTTTCACACAGTCTTTTCCCCAAACATTTCAGTGAGAATTCTATGTAATTCTGGCATATCACAGAGAATCTGAAAATTTAAATTTCTAGTACTAGCAAATAAAAGAAAATCTGTAAAAATTACACACATACATGATTAATGAAGATCTTACTAAAATACAACCATCTGGAGGTTAAAGTTAGGCAAACCACTCTAACCAAGCCCCAAACCTCTGCTCCAGGAGTATTAAATAAGGCAGAGCCACAGCTGTGACAAAACAGTCTCTAACCACACATATCTAGCACAACAGTTACTAGAATGCATGTAATCAAATTCACATTCGTATTATTAAATTAATCAAGAGTATTGTTTTCTAGACAGTATTTTCTACTATAGTCATTGCTCATTTTTTTTTCATGAAAAAATATCTAGGTAAATATTTTTAAATGTTATAATAATTTCTACGACTTTTAACCCACCTTTCAAATCTTAATATATGTTTAAAATAGAGTGCCTAACAAAATGTATTTTTATCTATGCAGCTTAAAAATTACTTTAATATGCACTTCTTACAAATTACCAAGGTTAATCTGTACTGCTTCCAGAAAAACAAAGTGTGACTAAATTAAATGGTTTACTATCCTAAAGTACAAACTATTAACTAGTCTTGCAAGAGTATTGGTGGAACTAGCGAAAAGCAAAGCAAAGTAGAGCACCAGTGCAGAGAATTTCAAATGGATACATACATATCTTCCTTCTTCAATGACTAAAACATTTAGAAGGTGGTTATTTGCAACTATTTAAGTGACACAACTTGAAGAAAATTCCAGTTATTGCTCAGTCTTTTCTTGGAACACACTGTTGATGAAGGTTGTATTAGCCTAGCTTCACAATGACCTCACAGGCATTTGCTTTGTCTACTGCAGCGCTGCAGAGGGGCTAAGTGCTCACCCTTCACAGGGGTTAGTACGTGCTCACACTCCCACTTCCCGCTGTCCACATGTTTAATGTATTCACACTATGTAGACTACAAATCTTTACAACTTTTATGTTTACTGTGAAGTCTGTGATGTGCTATTTTACAAGCTTTCACATTGCTGCATTCAAGCTTTACCTGTGAAAATCTCTGCTCTATAATCCCAGAATGAGGGCGGATACACACACTGGGGTGGGGGTGGGGGCTGCTTGGCTGAGGATGGGAAAGAAAGAGAAGACAGCTGAGAAATACTTTGCACAGTGCTCTCTACACCTCACTAAGTGCTCTATGTGATGCTTACTAAGGTCGTGTTAAATATACTGTAAAGCTACCTGTCATACTACTGAAAAGCAAAGGTCTAGCTTAATTGGAAATACAAGAATTATCTTAGTAATAGTGGCACAAAAACAGTTTAGAAAGTAGAGAGAAATTTAGAAATAAGTAGGAAAAGATGGGTTACTGGTATATACATACAGTGTATTATTTTTGATTCATTAATTCATGTATTTATCACTTTGTGCAGTGTGTTTTTTTTCTGTTGTGCCCTTATCAGCTCAGAATGTTAATTTGATATGAGACCTAATAATTTGTACATGAAACACACTGAAATACAATCCCTGTTCTCTGCTTTATAAAATGAGAAAATTAAGGACAAATCTCTAACTTTTCAGACTAAAACATGAATAAAACCATAGTATAGAACTATAAAAACTTCACCAACAATCACTTTAATCCAAATTTGATCTAATTCATGTGTATACTTCATAAAAAAAACCTGTATGTGCTACTTTGAGTTTTTTTCCCCCACAGATTTAAAAGCAAAGGAAAAATTCAGTGCTTTATGGAATGAGTTACTAATAGAAATTATTTCAGTAAGCTTTTATATTCTCAGAAAGGAAAATCTACTTTAAAAAAATGAGGCCTTATAAAGAAGTTATGTCTACAATTAACATGCTTTTATTGCAGTTTAAAATATTTAGTGAGTGCTAAGTTACACGTAAGGGTGGCATTAAACCTCTCTTCCCCTAAAGACAGTTCAGTTTAATTGCTTGATGCCATTAGCTTAGCTTTTCGAATGCTGTACCTGAGACAGTGGTATTCACACACTCCATGGCATGAGATGACACGGGTTCCTACTTCATCAGACCTATGTAGCAATTACAGCTGCACAAACAGAACAGCTATCCCAAGAATTAAAGCTAATAATAAAGTACGCAGAGATAGGACAGTTTTCATGTCTCTCAACTTTCAGTTCTGTGTAATGAAGCTGCTTCTACAAAGGGATCATGAACTACTGACGGTGTTATTGCTTGGAGAATGGCACATAGAAACACAAGAGGAAACTGATTCATGAGAAAGATCAACTTGAAGTTTAAATAAGCTGAGGCAACATGGGTACAGAGAGTATGTGTACACACACAGGTCACATACACATTGCACATCCTTTCTATTTTATTTTCTTTTAACGACCATTTTTGAATGGGACATGGTTATCACAACCACACAAGAAGGAAGGAAAAAGTATTCACTTTAATTTAACAAACACCAGAAAAGAACTTAAGTAGGCATGGTGGCATACACCTTTAATCTCAGTACTTGGGAGGTAGGCAGAGGCAAGCATATCTCTGAGTTCCAGGCCAGCATGGTTTACTGTGAGAGTTCCAGGATAGGCAGGGCTATACAGAGAAACCCTGTCTCAAAAAACAAAACAAAACAACAAGAAAATAACAAAAGAACAACAAAATAAGACAAAACAATAAAAAACATGTCAGATTTTTGCTTAATGACATATATTAAGTTTGGGTTTTGTTTTCTGTTCATTTGTACTCTTAAAAGCCAGCAATTTTTAAATATTCCATGCTTAGTTTGGAATAAATTCAGAAGGCAAATTCTTTTAGTATCAGGTAAAAACAAAGGTAAGCCAAGAAAGTATTTATCTGAGTTTGGATACCAACTTGACTTAGACTTACACTCTTTTTAAGCTGGATTAAAATTCTCTTGAGATAATTTGATTTTGATTATTTGCATCAACCCTAGGACAATAGTCTCAAAAGCTGTAGTTATTATAGCTGAGGTCGCAAGACATTCTCAACTTTACGTCTTTTTGAAAATTAAAATTACAGAGAATGCATGGCAAATTAACTTCCAATTTTATATTTATTATTATTATTTTTTAAATTTCTGTAGAATATACTAATGGAAGATACTCAACCTACTTGGTAAGACTTTTTTTTTTAATTCTATTGATTCATAGATCAACACACAGATCAACAGAGTATATAAGTGGAGTTCTGCTATATGAGGTGATAATGCCTCCTAAAAAATCCAGTCTAATAACATCCATGCCAGGTATGTCAAATCTTTTGAGCTGTCCATCGCATAATTCCAAGAGGACTTCCAAATAACACAGGCTATTTCCGCTGCCCCTGGTCACCTCCTGGAACTTGAAGGAAAATCCTAAGGATGAAGCCATCACATGATTTCTCCATAGGACTTGAAGAACTGAGGTGGAAATGACCTGGAAGCTCCCTAAGAACTAGGTCTCATAGTATCAGAAGTGCTATGAAAGCTGTCAAGGAAAAAAAGCAATCAGTAGTCACACCCAGATGTAAAGTCTACAAACAACAACAATGGCCACCATGGTAAGACAGACACTATGATACAAAAGTGGCAGTTTTAGCTTAGGAACAACAAACAGCTGCCTAATTAGGCTTAAAGCCTCCTCAAAAGAAGAGAATTCATACCTGGGACTATATATGTAACCAACTACCCATGAAAGGAGAAGGCATAAATTTTAGAGCTGAAGCTACTTCTGTCATTTTCCTGAGTCAAAATGATTTCTAACTGTATTCTAAATATTTATCTTTCTACCCATAGATAAGTGTCATCATTTTCATGTCTCATCAAAGTAGCTTGTTTATGCAGCAGATGCAGTAGGAGCTTTGTACAGACATTGAAAACTGGT